GTAATTTATGGGAGCCTATTTTGTACAGCTGTTACAACATTTTAAAATGAGCCTGTTAGTAATTATAATAACCCTTGGGGTGATCAGGTTTATTTTTTAATATGACTGTTACTGATTATCTAATTTTTATATAATAAATATATAACAAGTTAAATTTCCTTAATTAGTTTCTAGAGATTTAGGGAAGTACTCTACAGTTGTTTCGTGCAGCTGCACTGCTTTCCTGTTAAACTTTTTAAATCATAGTCCTGGATTAAAGCTGAGAGAAGCAGAGAAGTCTGACCTGAACAGACACTGGACCTGCCTTAAAGTTCCTGCCTGAAAATAGGAATAAAGATACAGCTTTTTCAACAAGAGATTTTGCCTCAAATGCTGTAGAAGAAGCCAACAGGCAATAAGATTTTATTGTTGTGTTGTGGAAGGAAGTCCTGGGGATGAAACACCAAGGATTAGCTTAAATTTGTTGGGTTTTTTTCTGTCTCATGTATATACTCATTTGCACAGGGAAGGCATTCCTCAAAATGTGTGATTTCAATACTTGAACTACACGTTCCATGTAGGTGTAGATAATGAAAATACCCTTGTGTTATTGGGTGAGATAATTTGAGTAATATATGATATGAAAAGTGACTCTGAACAGTTTTTCTTGGTGCACACCATAGGCAGCTAGAATTAAATGAGTCATCTACATCTTTTATTGCTAATATCAACACTTCAGCAATGCTAATCATCTGTATTAATTTTCTGTTTTTATTTTCCTAATAATTAAGTAAAAGATCTGGAATGCAACCAAGTTTTACTCTAGGGGGGTTCATACAAATTTATTTTTTTGATTGTAAATTTTGGTAAATATATACTGCAAAAGGAAAGTTGCTGAAGTTCGGAATAAAAGAAAAAAAAGGAAATACCATTTACAGTCAGCTTAATCAGAGTGAGTATTTTCAATGAAATCACCACTTCACTGCAGTTATTAGCTGAAAATACAGCTGCTCTTTGAATAGTTGCACGTTGACTATTTGCTGCATGCAGAGAAATAGCTATAGACCATGAAATATCTTTCAGCAGCCTGATTTTTCAAGAATAATTTAGCAAAATGGGATCATCTCTGTATCCTCAGATACCTTAAATATAATAGTTTCTTGTTGTGAGATTTTTTATGTTGATTTCTGTAGTAAGGGTGAAGTAAGACTACTTCATCTCTTTTTCTTCCATGGCCCTGTGATGTTTTTACTCATAAAATAAAGTGATTGATGTCATTTGTTTTATTCTCTTCCATAATATTTAAAGTATGATATTGCTATTTCTAGACTAACTTACTTTGTTAAAAATGTTTGTATTAAATCAAACATATTTATTAGAAATTATTTTCTCATTCTGGTACAGATCAGATTCAAGGATCTCATTTTTTTGTTATCTCTGCAGCCATATAATGTTAGAATTGGTGTGTAAGTGAGGAAACAAGGTCAAATGTTCACTGAAATAGAAATATAGCTTAAGTCATTACAAATAGATTACATGTTATTACCATTCATTCAGGCATTTGTGGATTAATAGTCAATTGGATTAGAAGCATTTCAGCATGAAAATTAAAATAATTTGCTTAGTCAAAGTTAGGATAATCTTCTTAGAC